TGAAGGGAGGGCAAGGGAAGGGTAAAAAAACAAGAACCAAGATACTCATGTAATGGTACAAATTCCCAATGATGAACGTAACTGTATTTTATACCTAAAATGTACCAATAAACTTAATGAGGGAAAAAAATGTTCTGCCCTCATTATTTCCAGTTTAGAAAAACAAGGCCTTTTCTAATCTGGTAACCATATAACCACCCAGAGAAGCAAGTCAGAGAATCAGAAGATCTTTGGTTTTCCCAGACTGGAATGAACTCTGTTTTTCTAATATTTCTCCTATGTATCCCTAAACTAAAACATCAGAACTGCTCTTAGCTCCTGTCATCTGAAACTATTAAAAATTATAAGCTTGCTAAAATTGTCTCCTTTGAACTTGATACAATCTAGCGTCACCTTTCCAACTGGTGTTCAATGATATTTTTCCTAGTTATGATGACACAAAATGAACTAGTATGCTTGACATACATGAAAAATTAGTATGTTTCTTTTTTGAACTCTACACTTACAGGAAGCAAAAACAACTGAATAGAACAAATAATGTTAAAAAGCATCATCCAGTGCTGGTATCCTAGTACACAGTTGTAGCTAACCAAAGAACAGCTACAATTATGTTTTGAAATGAGTCATGCTTTAATATTTTACAGAAATTTATTAAAATTAAGAATTACATTAATATGGCTTACCAAACAAAAATATTCCAATGAAGTCACTATAAATTTAGCCTGCAAGGTCACTGCAAATTCTCTCAACTCTCTAAAGATAATTAGTTTCATTTTAATGATGCTTAGAGGAAAATAGTCTTTCAGCTCTATGAGTAAGTTAATCTTCTGGGATCTTTTTTCTTTAAGCAGAAAATTCCTCTGCAACTACATGGTATATATAAACCTACAAAAAGGGGGGGGATGATCTTAGGCAAATGACCAAATGAAGAATCAAAATTGATTGTTTCATCCAAGTTAATTATTCCTTATTATGTCTGAGAAGAGCTATCATACTTTAATTCTTAATCAGCTAGAAATGATGGGTGAATGTTCCTAATAGAAATTGGAAATGCTCATATTCAGATCTTCAGTAAGCTAAGCAGGAGCACATCATGCCCAGCAGTGGAGTGGATCTAATAAAAGATACCCCTATAGAATAGGAAAGGACACTCAGAGACAGAAAAGGGGGTATACCTTACTGAAATAGCTGTTTTATCATCTTTCACACTCCAGTACCCATTGGGTATTGATAAAAAGTTCAGTTAGCACATTCACTCAACATATATCCTCCATCATTATCTCCCTTTATCCTTTTTATCTCCCTCCATCGTTTATCTCCCTTTATTTTACCTCCATCATTACCTCCCTTTATCTCCTCTATTTAACCAGTAAACTACTTATTATGCTACACTGCTGGTTATTATTTGTTACG